AGGCAGGTCTTTTAACACAACTGTGTAGGTTTGATTGGTGATGCAGGGATAATTATTTGTCTGCAGTTGCAACTCTATGAGCAGTTTGGCTCGTCTTTTGAATTATGCCGTGAGTTGGGATTAAGTCGTCATAAATTGCAGGTGCAACTTGAAACATGGCTGCAAAAATGGAAACATGAATGAACTGTGGAATTCTTCACTTCTCACAAACTGAGCCTCTGCCCTTCAATAGCACACAGGATACATTAAATTTAATGTGCATTGAACATTTAACATTGCAAAAAATAGAACAGGAAATACTGTAATCTTTTTCCTATTTGTAGGACACATTATTCAATTGTGCCTTCACGTAAATTAAATCATTCGTGCACTATTGAAGGGCAAATGGTATGTAAATAAGTTATCAGTGCATTGATCAGTCAGCAGTATTATTTTTGACTGGTGGTGCATTTAAGGTCGTGGCTGTGTTGTATGCTGAAGGCATGGTGCCTTATTTCATCCCAGTGTCCACAATCATCTTTAAATCGCATTTCTGTATCATCCTGTAGAAGTCTGTTACCAGTCTACCCGGGTCTTACTGTTATGGGTTGCATTTAAGAGCAATAATTAGCCAGGTTATTGAAACCTTGGAAAACGTTTGTACTCGGAGCCAGGCTAAGGTGATGAGAAAAGCGAATTCACTATTGATTCAAAATATTTGTAGGGCTTATGAATATCAATTTGTATATAATTATATGGAAGCCTTATTTCATAGCCTCCTTAATGTAATTTATATTTAGATTATTATTTTAAAATGCAAATCTCTTTCATTCCTTTCTGCAACTCCAGCAATCTGCATTAACATTTCCTCAACATAAAAAGAACCCTGGTCTTTTTGTGAATTATTCTTGTACATCACAGTGCCATCGGAGCTGCATTAAAAGTCGAGGCAGACCCGGTCACATTAAATATATTCATGTAGAGAAGCTCTATTAATAATAATAAGCTTCTATATAAGGAGGTCTTTAAGTTGTTTTAACAATCTGTTTAAATTAACTTGCTAAAAATGTATTTTAAGCTTTGTGAAAGATCGTTGAGTATTTTTTTTTTCATTTTGTTGTACATTGAAGTTTACCCCCTAGGTCCTATGCAATCTTTCGGTACTGTACTGTATGTAAAAAACACATTTATTCTTGCAGTTTAACCATCAAGAGTGAGTTTTTTTGTTCCAGTAGGAACCCAGTCGTATTGGTCCCAGGTTATATGGTAAATTAAGTTACCATATTACTTGAAAATCTCATAATAAAAATATATATTGTAGACAACATGAACCAAGCTTAAAATGTGGCCTGCGTGTGAGACTGAGAATTAGACACTGGGATTAAATGCATTCCATTACAGTAATCATATACCATTCTCAAATGATATTGACTTTGTAATTATACATCTGGCAATGGAGACAATTCCACGAATATGTAGTTCTTCAAAAAACTGATTGAGAGTTTATAAAAGAATGTCCATCACTGGATATTGTACTAGGAAGGAACATAGTATTTTAAGTCCCAAATGCATAATTGTCAACAAGGCTGCATTCATGTCAAGATGTGTGCCCATCAGGGATTGGCAACATTCAGTACTTGTATTGGTAAGTGCCACTCCCTAAATGCCAATAACATGTTATGTTAATTCATAATGCACAACCCTGACAGAATGATACCCTATTGGCAAGAAATACAAATGTGGTTTGGCTAAACATCAAACAAACCCAAGCCTGTAAACAAATACATCTCCCTTAGCTGCTATGGTAGCATTTATGATGCTTGTTCAGAGTTCAAAATGTGTTTTCACTTACATTTTTATTTTATTTGATCAGGTAAGGCCCATTGAGCTATATAACTCTATTTCAGAAGCGACCTGGCCACCAATGAGAGCTCAATGTGGCTTATCATATAGACATTTATAGCAGCCAAATACTCGAAATGCATGTTTATAAATGTGGAGGAAAAAATCTGAGGACCAGGAGAAAAATCCACATGACCACGGGGAGAACATGCAAACTCCAAATATACAGGCGTTAGGGTTGGGATAGAATCCAGAACCTGTATACCAGGCGAGGTAGTTAACATCTCACCACCGTAGCACCCCAAATCTAATTTGTACTTTCCTTGAATCGTTAAGATGTTTCCTTTAAGTTCCAGTTAAGCATGTATACCAATCCTATGACAGACCAAGGTATCACATAAATATGGTCAATACATGGTTGATGAATCTCTGATGGAAATGGCATCACATTTGAGGAATATACAAGTATGGTATGAACCTTACTTTTTCCTGCATCTTATTGTACTGTAAAACTGATCCACTTAAGGAAATCCCTGAAGTAATAAAGTAGATACAGGGTTCAACTAAAAACTCCGCAATCCAGAGCAAAGTGAGCCATCTCGGGTATCCTTAGAGTGAGTGTGCATTTGCAAGTTCAAGGGATGCCTGGTTTGACCGGTACAATGGAAAACTCGGGACCGGTCAATATGCTCCCGAACGTGGAGTTAAATTAAACCTTGAGTTGAATACCGGTGGTAGTATGTTACAGCATTAGTGAAATGGTTGTTTTAAAAAAAGGAAACATTTTTTTTACGGAATTAAGTGCACTTCCATTAAAGCACAGCAAGTAGCGGTCACGTATAATGGACCTTAATGTATATTGTACAGCAATAGCTTTAAAAATGGAAAGTTAAACAAATGGAACAAAAATTCCTTTAGGTTGCTTCTCGCCTTATTTTTGCAACGCGTACCTAATCAGTGCTGCTTTAGAACTGAGCGGCAGAGTGGACAACGATGAGATTGGAGGGAGCCTTTTTGGGAGATAAAATAAAACCTTGTTGTGGATTTCACGAAGAAGCCTCCAATGATGACCCGTCAGACGAACGTTAATTGAGATTATTTAAAAGCATTATGACAACGGTGATGATGTCGCACACCAGAGCACGTCCACCGTGGCAAGCCGCTGCGCAAATGGCCGTGTGCTATAATGTAAAAACATCCTTCACAGAGGTCAAATCAAAGCCAGTGGCAAGTCCACTCATCACCAGGTCTTGTAAACAAAATCAGCAGTCCACACCTGTCCAGCCATGCTTACAAGACATATTCTGCCAGCGAAATAAGCCGTTACTTATGAAACTACAAGGGGAAATTTTGGTTTTATCTTATGACAGGCTCCCCCATAATGCGTTAAAATGAGCTGTCAATGGGAGCTTATGTAAAATATCTGTGTATCCCTTCACTATCGGGACACTGGCTTCTATCACGCTCACCATCGCACATTTGGTGATAAGTACACTGTAATTACATGCTCTGGACAAGTAAGGGTATGCCTGATGTTTTGGTATATTGTGGGATGTGCTCTGTTAAACAGAGACAATTTTGACCACAACACGTCTCTATGAGGATTAAAGAGCATTACACCCATAAACTCCAGCTTGCCACTTCCACCCCACCACACCGTTGAAAAACAGAACTGAAATAGCACTGGGTCCCAAATAGTAGTACACATGATATCAAGCTCAGCACATTTAAAAGCTGCAGTTGTACGAGTGGTCAAATCATACTACGGCACACTATGCATACTGTATGTAAGCAAGGTGTGTTCAAAATGTTTTGGGAATGGGACATGAACAGTTTGCACTATTTTTGTTTATCAATTACCCTACAGCAAGAAAGTAACCGCTATTATTGGCGTATAACATGACACAGTGCATTTATGGAGCCAACAAAAATAAAGCTATAATTTCGTCTGAGCACTTTCATCACGTCAATTCTCAAACCATTTTGATCGCAACTTTGCATACGGTATATATAAAGCAAGTTTATGGAATAAGCGTGACAGCATGCGAAAACATCGCGGAAACTTCACGAGCCTTCAGCCGCTTCGTGTCCCCGCTAAGATATTGAACATCTTCTGTACACGGTTCGTGAATGTTGGAGAGAATTGCCGAGAACCCGCTGGTTTTCAGTGGGATCCACAGCCACATTAGCATTTGCTATCCAGAAAGTGGCGTTACCCTGATACTGATCTTTTTTGTGTTAGCTGAACGGCTGTATTTATATACGTACATGTACTGAATATATACGCATACTGTACACGTTTCAACAACCATAATGTGCCTAAGAGACAGAAAATGAACTACTCATGACGTATGCGGTGAATTCCGTTGTATAAACTGAAGCACCCATAGCTAGGTTATTGTATTTGTCATTCGTTTTTGCGATTTTTTTAAAGAATTTGTACACAGTTTAATATATAGATACGCAATGACGAGCACTTTACACGTATAATGTTTTTTTCTCTTTTGCAACTTCACGGCGAAAGATATCGGGATGTTATTTTAATGGCACGTTGATGCGAAACGTAATCAGGTGAGACGTGACCTCACCGCAACCGCGTTACAATGCACAGGCAGGTATAGCCTGCTTTGATCAAATTAATGCTCGTGCATACTATTCCATGTTGACCGCGCTTCCCCTACCCCTTGTCTGACCAGCCACTTTATTAATGAGTGGAAGCCATCAGGGAGATCTGGGACAAGCTGGCTGTATTTCACAGGCGGCATTGAACCGCGTTCATTCTGGCCACGGAGATATGTTGTGTCGGTGGGAAGCTGGGCTTACATGCAGTTGAGGATGTGAAGGTAACATTGAGTCATTTGGGCTTACCTTCAACATGTGTGAACAATACTCTTAGGTTTTTTCGGTAAAGTCACGTAGGTAAAACATTTTTAATTAATAAAAGTGAAATAAAACAAATTAAAAAAATTCACGACGTTTCGGAAGCAACACAAGCCTTCGTCTTCAGGTGGAACCGTCACAGCCACGACAGCTGTATCAATATATGTATCAATATACAGCTGTCGTGGCTGTGACGGTTCCACCTGAAGACGGAGGCTTGTGTTGCTTCCGAAACGTCGTGAATTTTTTAATTTGTTTTATTTTACTTTGATTAATTAAAAAAATTTACTTACGTGACTTTACCGAAAAAACCTAAGAGTATGAATCCTTGCAGTCACGAAAGCTTCAAATCTAGAATGTGAACAATACTGTCCACATTTTGACATCAGGTTTCTAGTGCGAATCACGGTCTTGTTTAGAGTTTAACCCATGCCCGAGCAATGAAACTGGGTACCAAACTTTCCTGTAAATATTCTATACCAACCTCCTGGGTACTGTCGATGGTCTTTAAAGCCCCTGTAGCACAATTAAATAAGATGTGTGCTGTGGTAATTGTTTACGACGATTTATGTATTCGTAATATTGTGTCCAAATATTGCACGAGTATTTCTCTTTTAAAAAATCCATGTTACTGTCAGCGTCATTGGGCTGTAAGATTTCATTGCTTTGTTGTTTTCACTCACAACCACACCGACTAGAATCCAATGAAATACCAAGATTCATGCCGCTAAGATGAAGCTTCTGTTAAAAGGGGAGTGACTTTATGAGTACGGATGACTTGGACCTCAACAATGTTTTCATTGAGCTTGTGTAGCATAGTGCCAATGCCAACGGCCCATTTCTCTGCCCAGTGTCTCCTGGCAATATGAAAACGGTCTCTCAGATACATTGTTTGGTTTGCCATTAAACCATTCCAACCAGAACTCCGAAGCTGTGCATGGTAAAGGACACCACAACCGACGCGCATTTCCATCCTCAAATACATTGTTAAATATCATGGTGTCATTCAATGGGTTTCCAATAAGTAGAAGGAATAACCCGCAAAAATTATATCATATAAGGTGAATCACTGACTGTTTTCCAATAAAGAAATGTCTCTTTAATGTCTACGTTAGATTTAATTAATTTTGAGTTGCATGTTCCACAATATAGAAAGTATGAGTTAAAATCAAAATCGTTATGGCTTGGAATGGTTTCATCACCATTACTCTGTTGTTATCATCTTGACAAATATAAGTTTATGAACTCCATGCATACATTTTGCATCATCTACATTACCACTGGATGGATTTAACTTCTGCGCTGTCACAATCGTTCATAATGCCCTCGTATCACGTAGCACCTCAGTTGATGAAAACCAAAACGCATAAAGTTGGACAGGTTTTCAAGTTGAGTGCTACATGCACATCCTAAGATCGTAAACATTCATTTTGCAGGCCAGAAAAAAAATTACGCCGAGAGAAACTTTCGAATTGGCAAACGCATGCTTCAAATTACAAAGATCTCAGAAACATGGGCGTTACCGTGTACTGTCGTAATTCGACACAGGCACTGTTTAATCATGTTCTGAAGCCAGTTTGTCTTTAGAGGAGTGTGTGCTGTCAAGTTTTTCAACGGTGCACAATTTTCTTCGACCAATCTCACCTGCAGATGATCTCAGTTCCAATAAACTTTAAAGCCTTGGGGTTTATCAGATTTGTATATGCCCACAAACTGGGAAATTAACAAGGCGAATTATAAACATAAATGCACCTTATGAACACATTTCTGATATAATTAGTGTGAAACACCCGTGTTGTTTTTTGGAAAATATTTTCCATTTTATGTAACAATCCACAGATACACCCTGATTCATAATCCAGCTGATGCCAGTTTGGTGTGTGACTTGAGAAGAGTGGTAGACTCAAAACATTGGGTTGATGTCCATTGATTAGATGTTGAAATGTACGAATGCACCCATTTCAGCATTCTGCTGTGACCCAGTCCATGTTGCAGAACTTGGAAACAAGTAGAAAGCATTTGTGTTGTGAACCACTAATTCAGATTAAATGTATTGGCCACGTTGGTGAAGGGTCAATAGCAGGACATTTTTTACTGCATTGCTGTGATGGCTTTAAGAGTTATTGGGAATGGAATCACGCATGCTTTCTTTATCATCCACCGTGCGTTCTTCAAACCACATAAATGATACCTAGTGACCCAGAGGTAGTGCCATCGCATTTGAGTTCGAAGTCACCAGTTCCAACGAAATGGCCTTCATTTTGGTCATGTCACATTCACAATATCAAAGCATGCGTTAGCTTTTCCAGGAGTGAATCTATGCATGCACACAGTGCTGCTCCAACATCAGTACAGCAGCTGGTACGTATGGACTGCTGTTGTTTACGCAGGGTCAAAAACCCGAATTCTGCATTAACAATGAGCAACAAAAGAAAGTATTAATTCAATCATCAAAAACTTGCCAATTTATAATAACACAATGTGATGTGCAACAGAAAAATCCTCAGAACTCTGCTAAACGTCCGCGTTTGAGAAAACATAGTTGTCATCAAGCCCATAAGATGGCATAAAAATAAATTGTGCTGCTAATGGCTAAATTGGGCTGTTACTACTGTACTGATAGAAAGTATTCATAATTGAATTGCATTTCGCATGCCTCTTCACTACTCTGCTTCAAATGTGGTAATTTGTAACTACGTAGATTTTTTTTTATTGTTTTCAGCTCAGAAAATTATCTCCCACTTTTCCATGCTGGCATACCTTGCATGTTTAGTGTGTAAATTGGAGTGCTGTGTGTGCATGCACGTGACCTCAATTTTCTCTTTCATTCTTCTGCACAATTATGTTGGAAATGCATTCAGCTCTCGAGCCCATGTCTGGTGCAAGCCAAAGAATTACATGGAAACTAATCTCCAAAATCAAAGAGCACTGGCCACATTTGATGTGAGCCATCTGGATTTTTTTTTACAGTGACATTTAACCAACTCCTGTTCAAGACACAGCAGGACACCTACAATGCTGAGTCCATTCCAAACAAACACCGGAATCCAGTCCATGGTTTTGCTGTGCACCTTCTACAATTACATCAGCATTTGTCATTTCTTGCTTCTTTCTAATGCAGGCATCTTTCTGTTAAATCGTCTCATCCCCATCGAGCCAACTAAAGCAAACAGACCACCTATCAAGAGAATGGCTTAGGCCTTACTCAACCATGGCTTACTCCGGTTGAAGGAAACGTTATGGCCAGCACCCATACCAGCAGCCTGAAACATCATTGCATTCGTTGTAATTGGTCATGCAAAACAGCATTATTGAGACCACATATATGGGACACCAGCATCCAGAGGCAGTGGCGGGCTTGAGGGTAAGTGACTGGAACATTAAATAGTCAACCATAATATATAACAGCCTACCTGATGACATTATTTGTTTGGCTAATTATTACATTTTCAATATAAACTTCCGATATTGAATTAAACAAATTGAGGCTATCTTTGAAAATTTGGAATTTGGATGAATTCTAGCTATTTTATTTATTTATTTTGGATCTTTAACGTTTCCTTTTCAACATTCGATACGCTTTGGTAATATGTAATAGGTGCAGCCCTGCAATTGCTCGCTCACGCCACTGTTGGCAGAAGTGCGTCCACTCGAGGGAGCTCGAGAGAGGCCCTCAAGGATAATTTGGCCAACTCTAGCACACTGGCCAGACATCTCGGAAGAGGTGGCAGGACCCCTCCTGAAAAAGAGTCATGGATTCGGTGAGGCATTTGTGGGTAAACAAGTATCATAAATTAATAAATTGTCGGAGTACCCACACTTTACCCTGCCACACACGACCTGCCGATCGATTGTAGTGTATCCATTTATGTTGCTGGATGGACAGAGTCGAGGAGGATTTAATAAACTTGCACCAACGTTTTGACTGCTGCACTATTCTGGAAATCAACTGTCAATTCAACACTTTGACAGATCTAGTACCCAGCCTACAACTTACATTTATAGTAGTGCTATTTACACCCTGTCAAAGGAAAGCCTTAAATTAAAAAAACACATTATTATGCAATTAAATGGATGAGCATCCAGCAATGTCACTTCTTTAAACCTGGCTCAAACATGTCATATTATTTGAGTATTTCATAGTTCCTACCAAAAAGTCCACCACTGGCCAGGCAGACATAATAAATTCAGGTTTTTCCTGACTCGCCAAACAAGGTTTTACAGAAAGCCGATGAAAATCAATATAAATCCCTTTAATTAATTAAATATTCCAAACAAACATCAGCAATCTGCGAAAGCATTGCTCGGGTCAGGGAAACATGAAGTACTATTTCTTATTCTGCTGGCCACATTTGTTGCGTTGGCTCAGCATAATGGCCATGGCCAGATGAGGACTTCTTGTCACAATGGATCTCGCTCAGCTGGCAGGCACCTGCCCAATTAATCCACATCCAAGTCGACGAATCCACGGCAGATGCTCGCCGTGGTCGGCTTCGCTACAGTACCGCCGACACCGCGACCAACCGCACTGTGACCCCTACCACCGCTGGCACTACCAGCACCACCACTGCCCCCGGCGCCACCTCCAACAAAACTGCCGCCACCGCCGCCGCCGCTGAGCTCGGTGGAGCTGGTGAGTGCCGAGGCCAGGAGGTCGCTCTCCACGTCTGTGGCAGCCCCGACCGAAGTGCTCCGATGACCGCTCCCGCTCCTCCTCCGACGCCGAGCTGTGGCTGTCAGAGGCTGAGCTGCTGGCGCCGAGAAGAGACCTGCCCCCACCACGGCGACACGTGGTCAGAATTGGCGAACGATGGCAACACGTACTCTTAGTTCTTTCGGTAAAGTCACGTAGGTAAAAAATGTAATTAAAATTAATAAAAATAAAAAACACTTGATGCAGCAAATCTGGCTGTGACGGTCCCACCTGATGACGGAGACTTGTGTTGCCTCCGAAACGTCGTGATTTTATTGTTTTTATTTTATTTATTTTTATTTCATTTTTTACCTACGTGACTTTACCGAAAGAACTAAGAGTATGAATCCTTGCAGTCACGAAAGCTTCAAATCTAGAATTGATGGCAACACGTGTCTGTGACCAAAGCTTCGTAGGTGGTGTCGGTGGACTGCCAGAGGTCTACTTGGTGGCCAGCAGTCCAGCAAGTGGGTTAATGATCTATTTGATTTCAAATTAGCCTCGTACATGCATAGGTTTTAGCCGTGCATTCCAGTTCCTCTTGCACAATTTGTACTCAATTGGCATGCCATGATTTACCCGGCAAAACCACCCTTCCCAGGGATTCCTTGCATTCAAATGATTCAGGGTCACGATTCGATTCTAGAATGGATTATTTTCTGGGTTATTTTCACCATCTCATTTGTACATTAGAATATCAATTGCATACAATTGATGTTTAACTATAGAATTTTTATCAATTGTATAGTTAAATAATACAATCTTACACACATCATAAAATGCACGTATTATGAGCGTAAGCTTTAATGTATCTTTGTATTGTGCATGTCCTAGTACTCAACAAGAAATTGGCCAAACATCCCACTGGGTGGCCGTTCTGATAGCATCTTGAGATTTGGTAAGGCTTTCCTGGCAAAGCACTGTTATTGTACCCACGTCTCCATAGCTAGTCGGGATAGGAGTGGTGCTATAGGAACCTATTTGCCTATTACTTATTATACCGGTTTAAATATTGTATTTCTATTTGTAGAACCGTTGATATTTGCTGCATAAATGCAGCGTACATTAATAAACAGTAAAATAACAATAATTTACAGCGCTATGTCTCATTTACTGCTGGATGAAGTCCTCTCTGTGCCATTTGGCTGTGGGTGTTTGTTTGACCATACTTCACCGTTCTGGTCAGTGCAGGTTAGCAAATGAGGTCGCCCAGGACCCGTGTAGATATCACTCGCCTCTGGCTGGGAATCAAACTAATGTCACTGGGTTCACAGCAGAGGTCGCAATCGGGTATCCGAAACCCGTACCCTACCCGATACCCGGCTACCCGTACCCAGCCGGGTACGGGTACCCATTTGCGACCCTGGTGCGGCCGGGTACGGGTACTGGTAGGCCGTGAGTCACTGGTAAGTAACTGTATGTCACTCATTTCGGGTAGGGTACGGGTACGGGTAGAGAACGGGTACCCGTACCCGGCCGGGTACGGGTACGGGTACCCATTTGCGACCCTGGTGCGGCCGGGTACGGGAATGGAATCAAAACCCGTTTGCGACCTCTGGTTCATAGTGCAGTGCGCGAGCCGCTGCACCACCACCCCAACCCTCCAATACTCTACAGTAATTATAGAACAATGAATGTGGCTTTCAGGCTTTACACCAATGACTGCACAAATAATGCCCATCATAGATTTACGTTGACATTAATTTGGTTGAACTTGTCTATGAGAAAACAATGGGAAAGGGCAGGCCATGGAATACATTGCTTCTCCAAAATTCCAAGGGGTCGTTATAAAAAAACTCCTAACATTAAATACGCTGGGCACTGGGACGCAGAAAGCAGTGACAGGATACCAAGGTGATTTGGAACACGAGAAATAAACAGGCCCTTTTCTGAACTCGACATACTATGCATGGCATCCACAGTTTCCTCTCGCAGGTATACAATAATAAATACATTACCAAAGCATCTCGTTATTTAAAACAAAGCAGCTAATCAATTCACCTTGTTTTGTGCAGAAAATCTGCTTCACTTTCCACCTCCCCTTCTTCGTCCGTGGTCTCGCCGGTGCCCTTGGGGTGAGAGCACATGGCAGCGCTGACGTCAGACAGAGCACCATCACCTCAGCACCCCCTTGAGGACCACCCAGCATCAGGTGTCGCACGAATGTGGTGAAAGGGATGAAGCCGAAAGAGGGTGCACGCCTTTCTGCGATAAGTGTCGCCCGTGCTGCATGGTCCGTCACATTCGGAAGTATTGTTCCGGCGCTTCCGAAAATCACTTTGAATTCCTGTGTTGGCACGAATTAAACGTGATCCCGTGTGAACAGTGGAAATGTAACGTGATAATCAAGTCACTCGCCAAATGTGTTAGGAGGCTGGTGGAAGATCCCAATATGGGGCCTCTCTGCTTTTATGTATGTGCCGAGTGTATATTAGTATATATAAATCCTCAATATAAGATAATTATTACTCTTTGGTTCTTTCGGTAAAGTCACGTAGATAGAAAATTGTGTAATAGATCACGACGTTTCGATAGCAACACAAGCCATCGTCTTCAGGTGAAACAACACAGCAGGTGGACTGCTGAGGCAAGAGGAAATCAAATTAAGATAGAATAGAATTATGTTTTACAAATGTTTCTCTGCTATGTTCAGTGTTGAACAGTTCACATTCACTATAAAGTTGAATTAAGTAAACCACTTCTGAAGAGACACATCCTTTCCCCACAAGATCTTGTAAATTATAAGCCTGTTCCTAATATCCTCACGAAATTGACTGGAAAAGCTTTGGCAAATCAGCTTGAGGATCACTTTTGTAAAATTAATTACAGAAAAGTTTCAGTCTTGCTTTTGCTCAGGTCCTCGTACTGAGACCTATACAGTCGGGATCTCCTGCAGTTTGCCAGCACTAGACAACCGTCTGTTTATGAGTTGATTCATCTTTCTGCTGCTTTTGACATTGTGGACCATAGGATATTATTGGAGACAGAATTACATTGGCATGATAGGTTTTGCTGTGGAATGGATTTAATCGTATTTATTACACCGATGCAGATTCGTCTCCCTTTGAGCCAGTATTCATCTCAGACAGATGACATGAAGCATGGAGTTCCACATTACCCCATCCTCCAATGTCCATTTATACATCGTTGGGTACATTTTTAACATATGACCTTGGATTGAACTGTTATGCAGATGATATATATCGTGATATTACATGTGTAATGAGCGACTTCCGCGACACGTCGTGCAGAGGGTACTTCTTTTATATCTCACACTGGGCACAACACAGGCCAACCTTATTCTTCTCACTCTGAGTACAACACTTAGATAACACATTCCTGCGGAGGGAGCTGGTAGGAACGTTGGGTTGCTCGGTCACTGGCCAGGGTCAACGGCGGCGTGGTGTATTCCACTTATATGCCTGACTGTAAGGGTGGGCACAAGCCGGCGTGAGTAGGTTAAACGTTGAGTTTTATAAGGGCACCACGGGGTGACTAGCCCCTCCCCACCCAGCCCCACGCCTCCCACCCCCCACCCAGCCCCACCCTCCTCACCCAGCCCCTCCCCACCCTCCCCACCCAGCCCCTCCCCACCCTCCCCATCCAGCCCCTCCCCACCTTCCCCTCCCCACCCAGCCCCACCCTCCCCAGCCAGCCGCTCCCCACCCTCCCCTCCCCACACAGCCCCTCCCTCCCCACCCAGCCACTCCCTGCACGACGGACACAATAATCCCCTGTGGGCTGGTGTAACCAGGAGGTTCCTACCAGTATCAACGTCTCTACTGGCTACACACAGCCGATCACTCGGCGTGGTCCCACCGCCCTCACTCGGCTACGCCACTGGCTGATGGCGTGACGATGATGGCAATGGCCGGCCGACGGAGAGAGATGTCGGCGAGCAGCGACGCAGCCAGGACCCAAGACCCCACACACGAACCCCGAGCCCCGGGTCCGCACCCCCTTATATCCCCCCAGGCGTGGTTAGGCCCCGCCTCCGGCCACGCCCTCTCGTGGAACCTTTGAGCAGGTTCCCGGAGTATCTCGGCTAACCCCACCTGTTACCTTTGCCCCAGATACCTCTCCTTCTCTGATTGGTTGTTACTTCAACCGTGCCCATACCCGTGCTTCCCTTTCCCGGCCAGCAGATGTCACCATGTCATTACACATGTATTAAACTGAACACATTCATCAATAAACATGGCTTAAATGGAAAAATAAAACCCATCATAGTTGACGTTTTGGCAATGGCCCTTCTTTATAGCACGTAAACGAATAATCAGCAAATAATTTAACAACTATATTGTTCTGTTCCTACTAAACCACAGACGGCAGTCTCTATGCTACCGAAGTGTCTGGATGAAATTTCTTCACGGATGTCTATAAATTATTCAAAACAAATTCGAATGAAAGGGAGGTGCTATTCGTGTGCTCAAGTTGCAGCTTAGCGAACCCTCCCCCCCCCCCCCCCCCCCCACATTGAAATGCCCATTGGTCGTAATAATGTTGACTACATCCAATATTGTGGAAAATGTATATTAAACGGAACACATTCGTCATTAGCTCTGGTACAAAGGCCTCTTTTTATAATTTGATTAATATTGCCAAATTGATATCCATTCTATCTGATACAGATGCTGAGATTCTGGTTCATGCATTTATTATTCCTTGGAACAATGCAGTTTTTTCTGGTCTTTCTGTTACCAAATTACATAAACTCAACTAATTCAAAACATTGCTGCCAGAATGCTCTAATCATTCATCATTGAGACATCAGGTTCATCGATCCGACATTAGGTTATCTTATATACTTACAGCCATCATTGAGTGGTTGTGGTTCAGTTTAATTGTATGTGAGAGGCAGGATATAAGTATCAGACATGTGGATTATGGTTCTCTCTGCTCAACATACCTTGGTGTGTATACGCCCCTCATGCCTGCTGCTCTTTGAAAGCTGACCTGGGCAGGTCCTGCAGCCTCCTGTTACCACACTGGAACTTGCACCATCACCAGCACTGTCTCCATCACCACCACCAACACCGCCATCACCACCAGCAGCTTGCTCTTCCAGTCTCAACGATGACCCTTCTGTTGCTGCCACGGAGCTGACGGGATCTTGGCTGGAGCCACTGAGGCGGTCGGAATTCCTGATGTCGGGGCAGCTCTGTGTCTCAGCATTGGGGCCCAGACAGGGCATGGAGGAGTGCTGAGGGTCCGCGGTGGTGGCGTCCCCGTCTGTCGACGGCCGCTGCAGCAGAGCCTGCTTTGCGTCGAGGTGCACGCTGCCCTGCAGGCTGTGGGCAGCCACCAGCTGCTGTCGCAGCTTCCCAACGTGTGAGCGCGGCGACCGGGCCTTGCCCTGCGGCGAAACCGAGTCGAGGCTGCGCGACATGCCCTCTGACCCCAACACGTCCGTCCTGCAGCAGAGAAGAGAGGGTTAAAGTTCACAGTTACTTTTGTAGTGACATATGACGTCACTACGATGTCGGGACTGTACGAGCGTAGGGACTACCGTGTCGGCTCGGTATGGGGGCTGTAGGCGGGTGTCACTGGGGTCGTGTCAGGACGTGGCACTCCGCGTGAACCCAATAGGACACGTGACCGGAAAAAGGGAGGCCAGGGGCCCCAGGGGGAAGCTTGGGGGTCATGTGGTTGGGGGCCCGGAGCTTCCCAAAGGATCGAGAAGGGGGGCGTGGCCTGGGGTGGAGCCGGCCACGCCGGAGCGGTTATAAGCGGGGTGTGAACAGGGAGCGGGGATGTTCTACTCCAGGTTGAAGATGCCATAAGAAGTCCTCAAGCTCTCAGATCGTCGTTCGTGACCAAGCAGCCGTCCCCCTGCCTTGGTCACGCTATGTAATGCTCCCGAGTGTGATGAGAGTAGGAACGGTGGTCACCACCTTATGTATAGTGTCCGTGTTAATGTTATGTGTTAATAAATAGTGTTGCTTCCAAGTTGAGTGTGCGCCTCTATCGAACCCATTACACTTTCATATCCACGTGCCTGTGTATCGGAGTGCCTTGAAATCAAAGCTTGGCGCATTACGTAGATTTGTGATTTTTTTAAAGCCTTAAAATTTGCGTGGTGGCACGAGATGGCAGTACAGCAAATGGGTTCATGAAAACGGTTGTGTGTGGGCCTTAGAATGTCACCCACCACATGTGTGTGGGGTTTTGTTTGGGCCACTCCAATTACCTCTCACATGCAAAGCCCTCATTGATAAGGAACCGACAAGACATCCCAAATCAGCACCATGTTGAAAAAGAGAATTGCAACTCATTAAGCCATTCCTGGATTTAATAAATAATAAATAACTTCATACGGTAATGCTTGTACCACAAGCACATGCAGTCTGTTCTCCTATAATGCATTTTTCAGAGCATGAATTGGATATAATGCGATGAATGTATTAGGGAACATATTTTTTTATACAACGCATGCGAATTGGATATAACACGTTTGAGTGAACAAAACCACGTTAAATGAGTAGGAATAAGCAGTTGTATGGCTGCCTCGGCGTAGCATCACACAAGGCAGGATGCTGCTAGATGCTTCTAGATGCTACCCATGCGCACTGGTCTTTGCTCAGCCTACATACACATTTCAAGTGTTATCGCGGAATTTGTTTTATTATATAACGCGATTTTTCAATAATGAAGCGTTCTGCAGGAACGCAACAACCACGTTACAGGACAACAGACTATGCATCTATAATTAACATATATAATGTAACCTCATATATTCAAACTAACAAAGGGGGTGGGGGTCCCTTTGCAATCGTTAAGATGATGGGTTTGTTCATTTGTTTACGGCTCATTTTTATGCATCACGCAATAATTATAGTGTAACAATTTACCCCAGCCCCTTGTTAATTTGATTATTTGTTGTGAGTCAGGGTCACGGTTTGGACTTGAAGTTAAGCAAATGCATATGACAAATGTGCTTTGATAAAATATATGTCGTTGATTGGATACATTATTACCTCTAATAATAATTCGTATCATTCGTAACATTAATGATTGTATTTTGAAAGCATCTAAATACAGCTGCAAGATGCCCCATTAAAATGGGGGACAACATTGGGGAATCATCTTCTTGGTTCTTTCGGTAAAGTCACGTAGAAGGGAAGTAATAAAATAATAAAAATAAAACATAATAAAATAATTCTCACGACGTTTCGGCCACAACGCAAGCAGCCGTCTTCAGGTGAAAACCAGATCTGTCGAGGCGACAGCGTCTGAATGAAACAGCACCATGCTTGGAGCATATATTTAATTATATGCTCCAAGCATGGTGCTATTTCATTCAGACGCTGTCGCCTCGACAGACCTGTTCTTCACCTGAGGACGGCTGCTTGCGTTGTGGCCGAAACGTCGTGAGAATTATTTTATTATGTTTTATTTTTATTATTTTATTACTTCCCTTCTACGTGACTTTACCGAAAGAACCAAGAAAATGGATCCCTGCAGTCACGAAAGCTTTAAATCGAAATTTAACATTGGGGAAGTAGGTGAAGCATAGGCAGGTGACAAAGGGTGACAGATTCAAGTCAGGGAAACATGGGAGACAGTAGACAGGGGGACAAACAACAGCATGACCCCGAGGGGATGGTGTCAATGGATTTCTCATTCCCATCCTGTCCCCATTCAGTAGCCCCCCCCCCCGCCTACAGGGAGTGAATTATGCGAGCCCCAACTCAACGAAACCCAGTCTGAAACGCTCGTGATAAATACATCCTGAACCTGCCCCAGTACCTTCGGAAGTGCAGCCTTCCCTTCTTCCGCGTGCTGGAGTGAGCCACAGGATGGTCCTTGTGCTGTTTGCTGATCCTGGAGTAGACTTTTGCCATGGCCTGCTCTTTCCTGTGTGAACAACAGCAACAAACTGCTCAACGAGGTGCTCTATGATATATTAGAGTATTTGAAAGAGAAAAATGTACTGCCCTTTAATGAAGCACCGTTGAACAAATGCCTCCCCACACCGTGTCGGTCATAGTGGTTGTTGGTCCATACTTCACCATACTGGTCAGTGCGGGTTGTAAGGGGGCTGCCAAGGACTCGTTCAAATCCCTGTCGCTAATGATTACTGTTAGCCGTGGCCTGGGGTTGAACTCAGGTTAGAAAGGTGCATAGCTAACTGCACTGATAACTCACTGCGCAAACCATTCCACTAAGTTTATAATATTATATTCTATATGCGTGATGTGATTCTAATATCCACCCACGTATGTTGTAATTCATAGGGCCAAGCCAGTTGGTCGGTCCTATGTGTCTCCATTTCTTAAATGGGCACTGGACATTGTTCATCTGCTGGTGGTGTAATTACATATTCAAAGGTGGCCAAGTGTGGCGCTGGCCAACCTATCCTGTCTTGTGCCACGCTGGTTCTAAATAGGTGCTTGCTAACAGCACTTGTTCCAGGGGATATTTGTGAGTGTTTGTGTGGGTATGTGGGCATTTAATGTGTTGGTGTGTATGTGTGCACGTGTGTCCAATTTGTGACCGCTGTTGATTGGGTATATCTGGCTCCACCCCTGGCAGATGGCATAAAAAGGTTCTGTAAATTATAGCCCAATAAAAAAAAACTGTAAACATGGCTTCTATATGTGTGGTGTATAGACAGAATAAATATACATTGTAGTAACAGTATACAAGCAATGTTAACAACTAACATTCATAGGCTTATAATGCACAAGTATAAAGAAAATAAATGTATAATAATGCAATTATGTTTAAATGACTGATAAAAATTACTGTAGAATAATATAATATTTATATATATTTAAAGAAATCCATTAGGGTTTCAAGCGCCATTCGTAATTTGCAATGGCCAACCGACGATCGCTTTTGTGAGAGGGCCTTGGGTAAACGACAGAGAGACAACCTTGACGTTATAGGCAAGGGCCACCTTGGGCAGCCATGCAGCTTAATATGTGTAGATGTATATCTCGATTTAAAGCTTTCGTGACTGCAGGGATTCATCTTCTTGGTTCTTTCGGTAAAGTCACGTAGAAGGGAAATAATAAAATAATAAAAATAAAACATAATAAAATAATTCTCACGACGTTTCGGCCACAACGCAAGCAGCCGTCCTCAGGTGAAGACCAGGTCTGTCGGAAAGACGCTGTTGTAATTCATCTGCTGTTTTCCGACAGACCTGTTCTTCACCTGAGGACGGCTGCTTGCGTTGTGGCCGAAACGTCGTGAGAATTATTTTATTATGTTTTATTTTATTGTTTCCCTTCTACGTGACTTTACCGAAAGAACCAAGAAGATAGATGTATATCGTTCACGGACGCAACAGTCGCCAGCAATGCCCGTAATTTACTCTACATGCATCATGGCGGTTTAACCGATGGACGACATTCGTCAATACGCTGTCGCACATGCACTAGTCCTTTGCCAGTCTTGCGCCACCGGGCAGACTCACGGCCTGTTCTAGTGGTTGCCTGTGGGGTTAATCCTTTGCATTATAAACGGACCCGCGGTCAGTGCCGGGTTCTGCCGTCTAGAGGGAGGCCAGATGGGTCACTGCTGGGGGCCCCTCCCCTTGAAAGTGCTGCTCTACTAAAAGTGTCTCGGATCGATTGCGGGACCAGGTCGCAGCAAGGGGGTTATCGATGCTGGGGCTTGGGTTTCCATCGCCGGCTAATGCTCTGACCCTGACACCTCCATGAGGATATGTCAGTCCAATTGTTAATAGTGGACTGAAGTGATTACCACCATTACATTATTGATATACTGTAATAACAAATGATAATGGTTGCATCAGTGTTGTGGATGTATGTGCGTGGTTTTTTTTCTTCCTTAAAATACCTTTCAGTGGCCTTGCTTTTTTTGTTATAGAAGTTGTTGCTGATGGGTTGGTCACATATGCAGGATGGAAGAGGGCAGGTTACAAAGACAATCGTTGGAATGGTACCCAAGGGTCAGTGACTAAAGATATTACGCAAAGGCGCGTGGTGGTGTAGCAGTTAATAAACACACAGCAGTAATAACCAGGGTGGCCTGCCAGGTTCGAACCGCGAACTTCTGCAACAAGCGGTGAACGCTCTACCATTGGGGCATGTCAACGGCCCATAAAATGACAGCTGCACGTTGCCTGGTCTCTCACCTGTTGAGCTCCTTCTCCCTTGTCTCCAGCTGCAGCATCAGGGTGCTGAGCTCTGCGTACAGCCCATTGGCACGCTCCAGCTTCTGCTCATAGTGCTCCCGTATGTCCAGCGCGTGCCTGGGGGAAATATTCACATGGCCGGTACTGAAGGTGTGCACATGGCAAGCATTCGTACATGCATGCATGCATAGTCAGACCTTCATTGTGGATACTTGCAGATTGAGGTGCACGGGGCTGTAAAATGTAATCGCTGCTGCTCAGGTGTTGCACGTGTTATTACTGATAATTACATATATTGTGTATTCATTAAAATAAAGCTCTTACAACAGAGTAAGTTGTTAACAAAGTCTAAACTTTTGTTGACTACCTAACAAAAAATTTAGGCTACCTGAGTCGTGCAAAACGAAGCTCAAGTCCATGGGCAACCTCTGGGACTTTTCTTCCCTGGCACCTGGATTCTGGCACTCTCTGCCGAAGGCTGTCAGGGAGTCCGGTTCGATTGGGATTTTCAAGTCCTTCTGCCTTAAAACATTTCTCTTGCAGAAGGCGTTTCCTATTTTAACTCAGCCCCGTCTTACCCAACTCCACCGTCATTGTCATTGATGTACAACAGATTGAGATATTCGGAAAAGCGCTATATAAGCTGTAATTATTATTTTAGGTATAGCATATCCAGGCCACATAGAGAGTTCCACGAAACTACAGGGCAAGCACAGTGACGCCGTAGGGGATATCAGAGGGATAACAAGGCTGAGACCAGTGAGAAACCAGGATGGCACAGGAAAACCACAGGGCTGATTAGGTACCTGAGTTCCTGGCGGCGACGTGATATGAGCTCCTCGTCCAGCCGATGTATGCTGGCGCCCTCCGTGCGAATCTTCTCAAACTGACTGTGCACCTCCTCGCGCCACTCAGCCTGCCACCCACACACGTATGTGCAAACGGGAGGTGTCATCACCGGAACAAAAAAAATCAGGTTACAAAAAAAAAATCCAATCAAAACTGTTTCGTCTTGTCGTATGAGTCATTGCCACTGTAGCTTTTGACGCATCAGTAAAAAATAGCTTTCCTTTCAATGAATCATACATTGTTGTGTCCTAGATGAGACATTGCCAACCTTTTGAAATGCGCGTTGAATATTTGACACAAATAGCAGGTCATGCGTTTGCCACATTTGAAAAAATGTATCTGATCGAGCTTTATCGAAATAACAAAGTGAAATCTGTAACATCTAAATTGCTCTGCCCTCTGCAACAATTTGACATCGATTTGACGACTATGCCAAATATGTATATTTTTTAAAGCCTACGTACTTTGTGTCTCACACACACAGCTGTCCCTCGATGACCGTGAGGCACAGAAAGGCACCTGTGAGTGGAAGAAGGTCTCCAGGGGTGTCGACAGCACATCGGCTGCGGCAATCTCCAGGTGGAGCAGGATTTGACGGAAAGACGGCCGGTTCCTGGGCTTGCTGTTCCTGCAAGTCCGGGTGCATGGCCATTGTCAGCTGGCTAGAAACAATCTTGATTTTGCTAGGTTATTTCATTTAGTGTGTTCTGTCTCCCTCTGTCTCCCTCTAAGCCTGCTTACCTTACTTGTCCTCCCGTCGTACTCATTGACATGTACATTTTTTTCCCTACCCCCTCCCTCTCTCTGCCTCCGCCCCCCCTCTGTCTATTTAAGGCCAGCCCACAGAGACGATCACCCCTCTCTGTTCCTGGGTTGCTCTCTCTATGTATCTTGGTGATATCTGTCTGCTTACATGTCTGTCTATAGTTTTCTGGTTAGATTCTATGTCGCTATTTCATTATACCTGATGATGATTGCTTGTGTTGCAATCGAAACGTCGTATGCTATTATTTAATCTATTATTTTATCTTTATACGTGACTTTACCGAAAAAAACAAAGAATAATGGCTAGAAACAGTTCCTAACTCAATTGGGACAAAGTGGACACATCGTGGCCCATTGAGTCCAGCCGCTCATGTGTATCCAAGCTAATATCTCTCTTTGTTCACGCAAGTTGAGTAGTTATCCATAAACTGTGAATGTATAGAACCAAGTAGTGCAATTGGTATGTATTTGCAATGTCAAATGCATTTGTAGTTTTCAGTACAGGTATACAAAAATAGGTCTGACTTATCTGTGGTTGCCCCAGCTAGAGCTGACTATAATTCCAGGGTTTAATCATAACTGTTGTTTAGGGGATTCTTGCCAGATTTTTGGGGTCCTTAAAAGGATATTGCTGAGATCCTGCAAGTTAAATATTGAACCCAGTCACGCTTTCATAAATATTGTGGTCCAAATCAACCAACGAAACATCGGCCCATCTAGAAACACTTTTGAAGCCAGACCCAGCAGTAAAGAAAATATGATTTTATAACGTGAGTCGATCACTACGAATGATCCCCCATCTCACTGCCACTCTCCCTACCTGGCCTGCTGCCAATAAGCATCCATACCAGCATTGGGTGAGCAAAATCTTGAATCCCTCAGGACAGGAGGCAGGAATGGGCAGGTGAAGACTGTTGCTGCCCACACCCCAGATGATGGCTGACGAGTCAACGTCGCGATACGGGATCTCTCCTGTGAGCAGCTCCCACAGCACCACGCCAAACGACCTGTGACCATCGCCACCACCACAGCCACCACAAACCACTGTCACCACCAATGGCGTCACTGCAGTAAACACTGGTATCATCAGACAGTTGCCATAAATCTGTCAATTTCCTGATGATGCTGGTTGCATGTATACATGCATCTATGGGGAACTTTTTTCGCACCGTACGTAGCCAACCGTGCTAATTGGAGGTGCGGGGAAGGCGAAATTTCGTACCATATTGTTAAATGTTGTAAATTCAACTCCAACACACCAGTGTGCTGATATAGTAACAAATTGGCATGTATGTTCTCATGATCATTGTATTCATTGGCAGTTAGATGGAGGAGAGTTTACAACACAAAAGACAATTATGAATCGTAGTATTGATCATAAAAGTCTAAACAAGTTAAACACTGGTTTAATTATTGGTTTGAAAATGAAAAAGGATGGTCACCAACTACTATAAGTATAGGAGATAAGAACGTGCACAGATTTTTTGAAATGAACAAAGCTACGGGCACTGTGGAAAAGACGTGATGGAGAGGGAGTTCCAAAGCCAAATAGCACAAACGGTTGCGGGCACGCTCGTCGCTCACCAGATGTCCACCTTCTCGGAGACGGGCTCATTGCGGATGACCTCGGGTGCCATCCACGCCACGGTGCCGGCGAACGACATGCGTGTGCTCTTCTCGCGCATCTCCTTGGACGTTCCAAAGTCGGAGATCTTGACCTCGTCGTCGTGCGTAATGAGCACACTGTGGGCGGGGTACAGGCACGCCGCTGCGCTATCAGCTGAACGTCCGACAGTTTTCTGACTTGCCGTTAATTGTACAGGTGTGTGAGTGTCTTATCTAAGCGCGGAGTGGTGGTGCAATCGGTAGCGTGCTGTGCTACAAATCCGACGGCCCGAGTTCGATTCCCGCTCATGGCCACCAAACACTAATGATGATTATCTGAACCTTTCCTGGGCCTCAAATGACTACCTTGTGTGATGGCCGGGCATGGTGTGCCCAAGGCACCCCTCGGCAACTTGTTTGCCTTAATAGGTGCTCGCGAACAGCACTTGCCCCCAACAGTCTGTACGGCTACAAGGGAGGTCTTTGTCTGTTGTGGCTTCCGCAAGTCAATTGCAACAGTGGGCACTCATTTCAAACTAAGCTGAGCTGGGGACGCAATGCTCCACTTTTAACAGACTTAACCTAAGGGAGACCCTCAGTGGGTGCTCATTTCAGGCTTAGTTACCTTTGTTGAGGATGGTTAAATAATGTTGCAGAACATGCTAATTAATGATGATTAATATACATTCATGGAAGGCAATTATATGTCAACCTAAAAAAAGTACATAATCACGTTGATGTGTTAATGAGAGCCAATTAATTGCCGATTACACCTACACATATTAAGATTTCGCTCTAAGCTTCATTGACATTTATGTCCTAAATAAGACACTAAAATTATTAACGCTTTTGTGACAATGGGCATTTAATTTTAGGATGCAAATTATGTTAAATATAATGTCAATTAAAAGTAGAATTGGGTACATTTCTCTCAACTAAAATCCATTTGACCTTTATCCAGGCAAACAAAGGAGCCCTACAAAAATGCAGTGATTAAAATCGAGACATTTTTAATCATAAACCATTACATTTCAACCTTTTTAGGCGTTAACGCCGCAGTGGTCACATTTGAGAATTTAATAACACCGCCATGATAAAAAATGCAACCGTTTCAGACCAAAAGATCCAAAATTCTCATGACTAAGTGCGATACAGTCTGTACACTGATAATTATTCGTATACCAGGTAAGGGAACGCCAAAATTAATATTCATGTACTGACTATATACATCACTCTTGTGGGTTTATTATATTTTTTGTTACAATAATACAACAAACATTTCATTTATTTACTGACGTACTTTTTCTTTTCTTTTTTCACTTGTGTATTTATAATGCATTTTGGTTTTTAACCTCATTTTATCTGTTGTTGATAATTTAATGTCGTAATAGTTCATACTTGCAAAAGAACAGGGCTCTATATATTGGTAAACATTGATTGAAATGTAATTCCCATACAAATCACAAAAACCTTCTTCTTAAATTTCTAACAACAAAACCCAGTGGTGATTGGTCTATACGTGGCATTAATATGGCTCCTCACCTGAAAATGTACTTTAACAAATCAAATATTTAACTTATTTTTAAATGAATATGTTAACAAGCTATTAATAAGTGATTAAAAAAGTGGATGTTTAAAATCACATACACTTCAGAATAGATTTTGGATAGAATTGAATGAAAGAAATTCCATACTTTGAAATAAATTCATGGCGGGTGTAATTGTTTGCAAAAGATTTGTCAAATTCCCATTGGCCAATTCTAAGTTGTGGCCTCGGGGGCGATCTCAGGGACGCTCCAACCAATTACCATCCATCATTCCAGTACAACATGAAAGACATTCAGGTGAAGTTGGGTAAAAAATGTACTTGTGTCTTAATTCTAGATTTGAAGCTTTCGTGACTGCAAGGATTCATATTCTTAGGTGTTTTCGGTAAAGTCACGTAGGTAAAACATTAAAATTAATAAAAGTAAAATAAAATAAAAATCACGACGTTTCGGAGGCAACACAAGTCTCCGTCATCAGGTGGGACCGTCACAGCCAGATTTGCTGCATCAAAATGCATCAAGATGCAGCAAATCTGGCTGTGACGGTCCCACCTGATGACGGAGACTTGTGTTGCCTCCGAAACGTCGTGATTTTTATTTTATTTTACTTTTATTAATTTTAATGTTTTACCTACGTGACTTTACCGAAAACACCTAAGAATGTGAGTACTTGTGTCTGTGGTGCAAGAGAGTAGGCAGAGCATAGTTCATTCAAATGCCATCAAAGTATATCCAGAAGACGTTGCAAAAGGTTTGTTACAAAGAATCCCGATTACAGAGGGAGGACAGGTAAGATGTAATTGCGATGTTTAAAAATGCAGCCACTGTTTTTCCATTTTCACGACTCGCAGCCTCCACACGTGTCATTTCGGTTAAATCACATTAAATATTTGATCTGAAATGTTCCATGGAATGCAATTTTGAAAAGGGGTCATATTGTGATTGCTTTTAAAGTTTAAATGAAAAACATTGGTATTTGTGAATGTCATTTCATAGCCTATGGGGATACAGTCAGGGTCACTGAGTAAACGGTTTTAACATGAACTAGAATGTAGGTTAAAAAACAAGCTGGGAATCAGATTTTTTTGTTTTTTTTGTTTGCAATATTCCATCCCTCCTTATAAATTCTAAAAAAAAAAACTTCCGTATCCATGTAATCTTGAGCTCTTAGAATATTCACATTAAATCTGACTTAAAGCTTTCGTGACTGCAGGAATTCATACTTTTTGGGTCTTTCAGTAAAGTCAGGTAGATAGGAAAAAAATCACGACATTTTGATCGCAACACAAGCAATCGCCTTCAGGTGAACATGCTCCAGTTCACTGGCTAGGTGGTGATGGTCGGAAATGCAAATAAGCCTTCTTGTATTTTTCGATTTAAAGCTTTCGTGACTGCAGGGATTCATCTTCTTGGTTCTTTCGGTAAAGTCACGAAAGAACCAAGAAGATGAAGCCTTCTTGTCTCGAAGTCTGTTAAAAGATCTAATAGTTGTGTGGAAACCCTCCCCGTAGAGGCGGTTAATCTTGACTTAAAGCTTTCGTGACTGCAGGAATTCATATTCAACGGGTCTTTCGGTAAAGTCCGACCATCACCACCTAGCCAGTGAACTGGAGCACGTTGACCTGAAGACCATTGCTTGTGTTGCGATCGAAACGTCGTGATTTTTTTTTATATCTACATGACTTTACCGAAAGACTAAAAGAGTATAATATTCACATTGCATAACTAACTCCCAACATCATAAAAAAATACACGTTAAATTCATCAATCCCTCCTTTGTGCCCTGCCTGTCCACTGTGCTAATTGGTGCCTCGTTATTAAACAAGAAACTAATTTTCTTCTTTTTGGCCAAATGCTCTTTTTGCTTCAGCCAAATGCTTGGCCGCAGCATGGATTGCCAGCTGCCATGCAGATCCTCTCAAGCCAAACTAAAAGTCAAGCCAATGTGGGCCCTCTCCAATGTAATTAAGTTAGTCAGAGTGCTGTCGCGCCAAGGCAATTAAGAGTTCTCCTTGAGCATAAATGTTTGCATGGTGCCATATCCTGTCCTTAACCTTCTATAAGTTGGCAAAGGTTCAGAATAATGGGGGCATAGGCTGTAAGTGTGGAACTAATAGCACTCTTTTATGATCCTAGTAGCCTAAGTTCGATTCCGAGGCATTCCTAAACTTGTATTCGGCCTTCTGAAGCTCAACTCAGCATTGAAATTAGCAGCGAATGTGACACGTGAATAAAGGCAATTGGGTGTGGTCTCACCACAGCATGCGTGCCCTGCTGACCTTATAATAGGTGTTTGATTGGTGCTCACTTACAGCACGTGGGTCTCTGTCAGCAAGCATTGGCCACTTCACATGACCTCAAAGCGCACCCAGTTTGGCACGCAGTGGTGAATGGTGGCTATTTTGTGTGTGTGTGTATTGCATGTGCATATCTTTGTTCGTGTATGTGTGTGTACCGGGTGTGTTTTGGTAGAGTGGTGGCATAGTGGTCAGTGCACTGCACTATGAACCTGGGTTAGAGTCCCGGCCATGGCTAACATCAGTGGCAAGTGATATCTGCATTGGTCCTGGTCCTTCCCTTGGTCCATACATGACTATCAAGTGCTGTAAACATCAGCACTGGAGGTGACAGGGCATAGTGCTACCACCACCACCCCCCTCGTGAGCCATGCTGGCTTTCATAGGTGCTCACAAACAGCACTTTCCCCATAATCAACGTTTTTGGATTTAGATCGCGTTATTTATAAATGTGTCGTAACCCTCCACCACCCGACACGGCCAATCAGTAAAAAAGTGTCACGTTGACAAAGGACAAATAGTTCACTGCTTTAGCCCACCGGTGTGTTGAAGCGTGAAACCACAACATTTACAATTTGAGTACGACGTTTCGCTGGTAATTGCATCCAGCATCATCGGGCAATTCGCCAGAATGGTGAGGCTCTGCTCTGTCTCCCGTTCTTATATAGAGCAGCACTTTCCCCAATGGTTTGTACGAGTATTGGGGGATTTTTGTCTTCAGTGTGTGTTTTTGTGTGCACTCTTGCACGGCCTGCCCTTCTTTCTCACTTGGGCGACTTTAGGTCGCGGTGTATGATCTTGTGCAGGTGTAGGTAGCTCATCCCACGAGCAATGCCCCGCGTCCAGCCGACCAGCAGCTCGGGGCTGATGCGGCGGCCGGCGCGCAGGACCTCGTACAGCTGACCTTGCGCGCAGTACTCCATGATGATGCAGTAGCAGGGAGCGTGTGTGCACACACCCCTGCGCACACACAGCCACGCAGCCACCAACCACCTCCGATTAGCACGTTTGGCTACGTACGAAAGAAGTTCAAACATATGAGAATAGGTTTTCCCCTTTGTTCTGCAACAAAACAGGTGGTTAATGCAGACATGATTCCTTGTAAAAAAATTCAGTTTGGTGTTTTAACATCTTAACACCTGTTTTGTTGCCAGAACAAAAGGGAACACCTATTCTCATATTTTGGTACTGGCAAAGGAGGTCCCATGAAGTTCAAACGTACATTCATACAACCAGGCCCAAGTCAGATACTCAACTCTTAGATTTCCTTTGAGGACCACTGTGCGACATTCATTACCCTTAATTTATAATAACAATAAAAACCTTCACCCAAGAGGGCCTCACTGAATGTTTCAGGAAGAGTCCTGTGTTGATATGTATGGCGAATTCCACCAATTAAGGCTTGATTTCATTTCGGGATTGACAAATGGCTGTAAGTTAGTATTACCATTTTTTTTAATAGACGGTTTGGCAAAATAATAATATTGCCAATTATTTACCCAGTAAGCCCTCACTGAGTTTCAGGACTCTTTTTTAAGAGGGTCGTTCTAACATTGGGATGTTTGGACATTTCCATGAATAAAGTGTTTGGTATGTGGGAGGAAAACGAAATACCCAGAGAAAACGTAACTTAAAGGTCGACATGGAAAATATTCAATTGCACAGATGGAACAAATTCACGGAATATTTGTGGGGATTGAATATATGTGTATTGAATACCTCTGTGGATGTAATATCTCTGTGGATTGAATATGTCTGTGGATTGAATATAACTGTGGATTGAATATGTCTGTGGGTTGAATATCTCTGTGGGTTGAATCCATTGCTGCACTGCCACCTCCTGGCTACCTCACAACACTCAAACAACACTTTTGATATGTTCTGGTGGTCTGTATACAAGTACTAACCAGGCCCAACTCTGCTTAGTTTGTCTAAGTATTCTGGACAAAATTAATATTTAAGCACGTATTCATTAGGGACTGATGTTAAAGGCCATATTTGGTGAGTGACTCACAATGTATGCTATCCGTGGTGCAATAATACACACACTGTTAATAGAAAACTGTCAACTTTGTCAAGAACATTCATTTTCTTGCCAATATGTTCGGCGTCAGATTAAGCTTCTCGGTGAGGTGGTTCGTTGTAGCTGGAAATGTATGTCCACTCAGGGCACAACCATGCTCCATGCCATCTGTGGTTATGTCAGCATGACGACAGGCACATCCATTGCCTTTCAACCTACAAGCTCAGCCCATAGAGCTCAACAGATGACTGTCTAAGCCTATCTCTAACTAGTTGACAGCACTAAACACGGATAATTCTAGCTACTCACTCCTACATGTTCAGCCAGACGCAATTAAACGCACACTCCCACAGATTTATTTTTGAAAAATGTCGAACCAACAAAGTCCTGTAAGTTCTTATAGCTAATATCCACAGGTCTAATGATCGTATCTGGATTCGAATTACCCTCATCCATTTCGCCTTGATGACAACATTAGTTGTGTTGAAGGTAACATAAAAAACACGTAACAGGTGTATCACAAGAAGGCATCCTGAACACATTCCATACGCAAGACTAGAATAGTGTTTCCATAGAAGACAACAAGAGATGCAATTGTGTGCATGCACACGGACCCTTGGAGTAAGTGAGATTAGCGAGCACCTATTATCAGCAGCACAATGCACTCGGGATTCTGTGGCCAACACCACGACCAGCTGCCGTTTTCTTGTAAGAATTTACACACTGCAGCAGGTACTGAATTTTAGAATGAGTTGACCAAGGGTAGACCCAGAACAGCTTCATATATCCCAAGCTAAGTATAAAAACATTTAACCCAGGTCGCCGTAACCATATAGCAGTCCAAACCAAAACGCCACCACCACTCTACACATACTCGCGCACACGCATGCCATGTAACGTGCACGCGTATACCACAACAAGACGTGGGCACACACACTCAGCTAATAATGCAGTGAGAAATGTTCCTGTGCTTTGGCCTCACTGCATTTAGGCTGCATTGTAAGGTGGCTGTGAGTAAGCACATCTCAAGGGAATTGCGTGCACGCACGCCACTACGAATTCGCACATGCACATACGAGCTCGCATCAGTGCCCTCATAATTTATAAAACCCTGCACAACACCACGGCAGCTAACATGCAGATAAAGTGCCCCGAAAATGCCATGGACTGTGTAAAAAAATGTTGGCCTTTTTGTTTACTTCATGTGATCGTACATCTTTGTAATCGTAATAATGTGACAATTATATCGTGGTATAATATTACCAATGGACCGAGTGATTAATCTGGTATGGATACAAATTGGATTTATTTTTGGAAATCCTTAAAAGCCTGGTATTCTTTACCAGATCTATAGCCGATTGGTGTTTTGATTGACTCCAGATTTCTAGCCACTCATGTGCTCTGAGCTTAATTGTGCCTAATAGACTGTTAATGCGATTATGTCAGCTTGACTGCTAAAGCGCAGCGTATGCAGCAGTGTATGTACAGATGTATGAATTTGTTAATGTGTAGATCAGTGGAGAGCCAAAGCGTGCATTAGGGGTCTAAAACTGTTAGGCCCTAGGTTTTAGTCCCATGTAGGGTAATAATAACAAAACAGATTGTGATCATGTATTAGTGTGAATAAGTGATTTTGTACATTGCATAAGATAATTTTCATTATCAGTCACAACCTATCCACTACTAGAAAGCTCCTGGCCTAGAATGTCTGTGGATTTAATTTAAAAAAAAGTCATAAAAACATGTTTAACAAAATGATAGGCCTTGCTTAATGAATGTTTACACAAAGTATATATCTCAATTGTGGATGAATGCCACAATATTTGTTCTATTAAAAAAGGGAGATATAACTGATTTGAAGAATTACACCTGAAGACGGAAGCTTGTGTTGCCTCCGAAACGTCGTGATTTTTATTGTTTTATTTTTTATTAATTTTACCTACGTGACTCTACCGAAGGAACTAAGAGTATGAATTACAGACCGTTTAGTCTTCTATCACGGAAATATAAATTGTTCACGAAGACAATAGGAAAGTGAATCATGATATATCCGAAATTGTTCTTAATAATAAATAACACGCTCTTAAATATAATCACCTTAACTAAAATATAACTGACATATTTTAAAGATGTCATAACAAAGTTTATTTATTCCTGCATACATTATTGAGATATAGCACATCGTTAAAATCAAAGAAACTCATTATTATTATTGATATCAGCCAAAGATGTACCCTGAGCATGCTTGTATCCCTGTGATTTATGATCAAGTGAAAGATGGGTGAGATAAAACGACTATTTTCGCGTGGCCCTGGGTCTTTTACGGTCTTTTTTGGTCTGGTCTTATTGGCAGCAGCTACTGACACGCGCGTCTCCGCGATTAGAGACAGGGCGAGTTCTGAGCGAGACTGTGGCCAGAAAAGCAGACGAGAGAGAGAGACGCATCCAGCAACTGCGCGCACTCCAAGCAGATTAAAGTGTAGGGGGGTGGTGGGGGGGGCCTGTGGGACTGCTAATGGACATGAAGGTTGGGTGATCAATTATTTCCTTTTCCAAGTGACCTCGCTCATCATCCGACGTGCGATGCGCTACCGTGCAGCCACGAAGAATACATTAACGCACAGGAGAGTTTTGACGCGAGCGTTTGCGCGTCTGCCTAATCTCACAGAATCATGCTGCTGCTGCCGAACGCTAATTACAATGGAAAACTCACGTGCTATTTTTCCGCTCCAGTCACTACTGTTGTATTAGCGCAAGCCTGCTTCATCTTCGGGGCAACAAACCTTACCGCTGGATTTAGGCGAGCGAACGTTAACCTAATGGGTGTTGGCAGGTTTTCAAATCTTTTAATATTTTATTTGGCGGCAATTTTGGTTTAATTGAAGCGCATATTTGCGTAAATGCACACAAAAAAACCTTTTCATATTACGGAGGATTGAAGAAAAATCGCCTTAAATAATGTAACATAATGGACCTACCCTTTAATGAATACAATCTCAATCACTCGGCTCGTGGCGCCGATTAAAATTCTCCCTTTTTTATTTTGTCCTCATTTTCTCGCATTGCTCTGAGACTGCAGGTTTTTTGCAGTAAGTAAATAATATCGATAAACTGCTCGCATGAAACGCAGCAAAAGCACAGACCGCTCCAGAGACAATTGTGCGAGTCTCTGCACCCGGTCCACAACAGACAACCTTCCTGCAGGTACACAGTTTAAATTGTGCCCGTAAAATAAAATGCAGCAAAAACACAATTTAGGATTCACCCTTACACCTGGGTTCCCCTTATCACAGTCTGTCAGTAACTACACGGTTCCGGAGGCTATGCCTGTACGTTTTGGGCCCCCACTATGAGGCGGAATGGTTTTAGTCTCATGGTAACCCATGTTTTCCAAAATAACCAATGAGGAATTGCCTCAGTCACTCAGTCACACTGCTACTCTAAACGTTTTTTTTAAGTAACACTTGAATATTAATGAGTCTTGACCTGCTTCGGGTTTTCTCAACGTATCAAACTGTGCATTAATAACGGTCATTCGTACTGATATCCCACTTGCCCCATTTCACCGTTTTTTTTACTAAGTCATGCAATCAAACCTAATTGTGATTGGTGGTAATGAGATATCAATGTAACGTTTCCTAAACTTTTTAAGCTGACCAGAGTCCTCAATGTTACATGGTGCTCGTCTCTTTCCTTTCATATTCATCTTCTTGTCAGAACACCTCACCAAGCCCCATTTGCTTACTTATAACGAAGCTGGCATCTGTGATTTAAGTACGCAATTTTAATTTGCTGCTGTGTGTAGCAGCTGGTGGCATTGTCCTATAAAGTGGTTTAGATTACTGATCATGTGGTCAGGGTCGATTTTTTGTTGGCTCCAAATGTACATTCTACACGTGCATGCACTGTCCTTTTGTCAATCCACTGCTGAATGAGGCTTTCTTCACAGCTGCGAGGGGCATGAGGAATATTTGACCATACGTCACCATACTGGTCAATGTGCATTCGTAAAGGTTAGATGTGGGTGCATAGTGGCACAGCACAGCAAATAATTTTGCGGCACTGCCCACTGCTGCCCACCACGTAGCCCTGAAAGCCCTATGACCATCTGTCTGTACATGGTGATCGTCCATCCAATCACTCTGCTTAGCTAATGAGATCTGAGGAGATCGGGCACACGATGGGTGATGTGGCCACAGACACATACAGTGCTGAATATGAGAACATGATTACAGATTGCATACAAATTGAGTACATTATCTGGTGTTTCAAAGCGTGAGCAGTGGTTATAAAAGTCAGTCTGCGGTGCTGGTGAACGTGGCTTGGTCTATCCATACCATAAACTTTTGGCCTATCCCATAGCCACAGCTACAGAATGGCGTCACGGTGGTGAGATGTTAAATACCTTGCCTAGTATGCAGGACGTCATGTTTTCTCGGTGGTCGTGTGGATTTTTCTCTAGTTCCTCCAGTTTTTCCTTCCACATTTAGAATTAACATGCATTCATAGGACGGTGTTGCAATACATATACACATGAAAAGCCACTTAAATTTAGACTTAAAACGTTCGTGACTGCAGGAATTCATATTCTTGGTTCTTTCGGTAAAGTCACGTAGATAGAAAACAAAAATCGAATTTTTTTTTTCTATCTACGTGACTTTACCGAAAGAACCAAGAATATGATAAGCAGCTTTATTATGTTTTGCACACAGCGTTGGTGTACGGTGCTTTTTCTGCAATATATTGCTGTCTTTTCTTGGATTTTCTGTTTGTACATAGTCACATTAAGATGTTTTCTTGTTCATGTTTTTGTTTTTTGTTTGTTGCGGTTGCACCCGATTCAAGAGCCGAATGGCTCACAGGGTTATACCAAATAAATGAAACTGAAAACTGAAATTAAGCTTTCATTTGTGGCCAGGTCGCTTCTGAAAAAGCTACATAAAATAAAAAAATTATAGCATTGTATGCATGATGGAGGGTGCATACGAGGTGCTTAGTGCTGGGCGCTTTATACATACTTGAACGTGATGATGTTGGGGTGCCTGAGCTTGTGCAGGTGCTTGATGTCGGTCTCCTTCTGCTCCCGCACCTTCTTGACGGCCACGTGCTCTCCGCGGAACTTCCCCAGGAAGACGGCGCCCTGCGCGCCGCTGCCCAACCACTGCAGTTCCGAGATCTCCTCAAACGGCACCTCCCAGCTGTCTGCTCCATGTGGAGGGGGCACGGAACAGGTTCAGGAGGTGTGCGAGTACCTAGGACCTTTGGCCCGTTGAGGCCATTGTACACCTGGGCAATATTAGACCACTCATCACCAGCAATTGTTACCGCATCTTGCACTGTTTATTTCCATAAATAACTCTGTCAACTTATGCCATTGCCTTCCAAGATGCAATAGTTCATTATTATCATCAGCCATGGCCTATCCACTGGTGAGCAAATGCATTCTTCCAAGACCATGATTCTGTAATGTAATGATCCACCTAGCACCTGCACCTGCACGTGGGCTGATTTAAATCTCTCCCTCTCCGCGGAGGATATCTCCTCAGATGCGTTCCATGCTTTGGAGGTCACTCTGTCATTATTCTTGCCCATCGGTCATAATCCCTTCTCGTGACATGTCCTGCCCAAGCCCACGTGTTTCGGCTGAATTTCAATGATGCCATTACCACGCATATGTCCTCTGGTCCCTGTGTTCCTCAAGTCACTCAATGCAGTTCTATAGTTGTTAATGGCAAATACAATTCTAAATTTGTTTTTTTCGGTAAAGTCACGTAGGTAAAAAATTAAATAAAAATAAATTAAACTATCGATACAGTAATTTTGCTGTGACGGTGCCACCTGAAAACGGAAGCTTGTGTTGCCTCCGAAACGTCGTGATTGAATTTATTTTCATTTTCTTTTTTACCTACGGAAAATACAATGCTGGTGAAGACTGCCGGTGGTACACGACACTTCTCATATATGTTGAATGCATGCATGCATGTCCCCACGTGGAATACTGCTTGTGTGTATGTGCATTTGGATGAACAACAGTAAGAATAATTTAGGCTTGTAATGCGAACAATGTTCAATCTCTCTTGAAGAGAAGATACGGCTCGGAGGCACGAGGAACCACAGACAAGAGGAAAGGTAGCGCAGCCGCGAGGCGGCACTGCCAACAACATCCCCAAGCTTCTGCAGTCTATTCTATTATACTATTTCACTAGCATACTATTCTTTTTAGTTAACAAGGTAAGGACCACCGAGCTATACGGAACTTTTTTTGAATCGACCTGGCGATCACAAATGATAGCTCAACAAAGTGACGTATCATTCGGAAATCTATCGCGGCACAAATACTCTAAACGCACGTTGATTCTAAATATGGAGGGGAAAAACCAGAGGACTCAGAGAAACCTCCGCAATAGCACGTGGAGAGATACATGCAAACTCCAAATACACAGGTGTCAGGGCAGAATCGAACCCACGACCTCCTGTATACCAGGCGAAGTAGTTAACATCTCTCCACCGTGGCCATTTAATGAATGTGTATACGTGCGAGGAAAACGGAGTACCCGGAAAAATTCTATGAGTGCCGATGGAAACAGATGGAGACTAATCCACTTGCTGCACTGCCATCTCCTGGAAAGCCAGGGTATGGTGACCTCGACGCCCATGGCAAGTGAGTTTCACGTAAAAAAAATCTGAGTCACAAACCCTCGCTGCCTCCGCAGGTGCTGATTGCAGGTTTGTGCCGCCACCGCCCCGGCATGCATGTGTAATGACTCAGACGACAAAGTACTCGGAGCCACTTTATTAACACAGAACAATCTAGGTCCGGGCTTCGTGCTTGAAGTTGAAGCTGTTATTTCCCTCCAACGTCCCCTCCCCTTGTGCTTCTGCCCTTTTATATCATTACAGTCCTCTTTCTCGAATGTTCCCTCACTCTATTTCCCTTAGCCAATCCCTGTCCTTCCCCTCGAACGGATCCCAACCATCACCTCTGGGCTCCACTCTGTTTCTCGCCTATTCTCATTCAAACCCTTTTCTCCAATCACTTCAATCCCTGTGGAGGGCTTCTTTCCGCCAATCGGAGACCTTGGTTTAACTTCGAATAGCCGTCAGGCTGCACATTGGCTTGGGGTCATGTTTCGGTCATTACACATGCATGCCCTTCTTTGTGCAAATCCCTATACAGCTCCACATCAAACTGTTTGCGCGCCGTGTTGGCTCAACCAGCGGTGCGCTGGACCTGCCCGGGAGGAGCCTGCAGGCAGTGTCCCGCCAGCGCACGAGAGCACTTACATTCAGCACACCTTCATCGGGGCACTAAAGGCGAACGAAACATAATTAATGATGGAATCCAGTGCTGGAGAAATACTACCGTCTAATGGGTTACACGTAATTATCTAAAGTGCTTCTGGTCTGCTGTGGAAGCAATGGTACCCGCTGCATCAGGGCCACGCGGGATGAGATTGACACACTCGTGGCAATGACGGTGGCTTCCTCGCACGCCACGGACGTGTATTTACTCGGTCGTCACATCTGGTTCAGGTGCGGTGGCTTCTCACAGAGTGGACGATCAACTTGGCAGATGGAAAGGGGATACCGCAGAAGGCGAGCGGAGGTGGAGGGTAAGGGGAGGGGTGGGCGCTTTGTATGCAATTGGAAGCTAGAGGTACCATAAAGATGACAAGTAGTCTCTGCAAATCGCTAACTTTAATGGCGATTATTTGAACCAGTACTGGGTTGCCCATAGGTTGACTCAACCTTAAATTAGTACCTGGTGTGATGTGTAAACATCAGTCTTGGGCAGGCCATGGCCAGGCATTGTTTTGGTCACTCCACCCCATCGTGTGCAATACCAGACTATATAAGGTGCTCGATAAATAGCACTTGCCCCAACAGTCTGCCCAGCTTTAGAAGGATCTTTGTCTTTGTTTACTATATATAGGATATAATAAATCCATGTGATCGCTGGATAAAACCATTAAAACACATTCTTAGATTTTTTTCGGTAAAGTCACGTAGGTAAAACATTAAAATTAATAAAAGTAAAATAAAATAAAAATCACGACGTTTCGGAGGCAACACAAGCCTCCGTCTTCAGGTGGAACCGTCACAACCACGACAGCTGTATCAAGTAAATGAGGAAAGCTTCAAATCTAGCATTAAAACACACTTAAAATATCTAAATATTGAGTTATTCTCATCAGTATACAAATAATACCTAAATAACTTAGCAACATCTATCAACAATATTTTTGTTAAAAAATATTACAAAGATTGTATCTGCCAATTTAGCAATTATCGGGCATGCTATGTTCAATGCTCGATGAAAACCTCTCTATTCTGGCCCCATTGCCTTTAAATTTGCACAGCTCCAAATGATCTCATTCATTTCAAGCGCCTCAATTTCATATCTGCATTTCCCACTCGGGAGTCGCACTAAACACGCCGTCCATATAAATGGCGACATTTACTTATCGATTCCACAGATTCCTTACGGTGCTTGCGATATGCAACGTTGAACGATGGTAAATCATATATAGCGCTGATCAAATATTAGTTGAACTTATTTTTCCCGTCAATATTCCAGTTTGGCGCATGCCTCTAATCCAGCACCGTGGAGGTGAAGGTTGGTGGATCACACAAATGTTGTGAAACTCCCCTCCTGTGGTCATCGAAGATGCCATACCCTGGCTTGCCAGAAGGCAGTACAGCAAACATGTGAATTCCGCCTTCTGTATGGGAGAGGGTGTTGAGAGAGTGTTGCCTCACATTTGTGGGGTTTTGCCGGCTGCTCAAGTTTCCTCCCACATGTAAACACTCATAAATTGGCCGATAACATCTTAATATATAGAGGACCGCAGAACACGGGGGAGGAATTTGTTTCCAGGTCCAGCTTGTCTGTGGTTCCTCACGCGTCTCTCTCTTCGAGAGTGAGTGAATACTATGCAGTGCGTTATAAGTTTAAATAATTATTCAGAATCTGAATATCTATTTATATTAGAGGAATCTGATGAGCTATGAAGCTCTTTTTCAAAGATGTCCAGTAGTTATATAATCAGCATGGCTGCTAATGGAGTGATTGATTCTGGTATGTGGAGTCGGGCTGAAGAGCAATTTGATGATCTATACGTTTTGGCGAATTTGGTAAAAAAAAAAAGGTGTGCAAAATTTATGAAAGTGTAGAAGACTTGGATCTAGCGTTGTGTGCACATAAAATGTGGTGGGTTTTTTTTCTTCTTCAACATTGAGGGTCATTGTTCCAGTATTATCATTCATCATTGCAGAAGTTTAATTCAAAAGGAATCTGCATAACAAGAGTATGGGTCTTATTGCCTGACAATCGTGGAATCACGTGACAGCTGTCATTGCATTTTTAAGCTGTTTCATTTTCAGACGAAAAAAAGGTGTGAATTTTAACTGCACCACCTACCTCAGTACGTATGGCATAACATCTCTGTTCAAATTATTGTACCTCACACTGGAGACCAAACTGATACTGCTGCACAGCATTGCCAGACAGATGGATGGTTCGAAACTCTCAACCCCGACAATCCAGTGGCTTTACTAACAAGTGTACAAACCACAAAGCTACCGACCCAGCTCTTCAACAATTAAAAACAAATTAAACAAACAAAATACTGTATGTTCATAGGCACGCATTTGTGGATGAGTCTATTTGTTTATCTTAACACATGTATTTATGGAAGCTTTAGCGTACTTATTTTTAGAGCTCAGCCTCCTTCCCTACGGCATCTCCCACAATCCTTCATTAAAATGCCAATTATATTGGCGTGTTAAAGGGCAAGCACAGTGCAGTGCTTTAAATGAGGGTATGTTAATCCAACCCCCTTAGAAATCTGTGCAATCACGGGATACAAAACACACAGACACATTCACACACAGTGGGTTTATTCCAGCCTGTCACACAAATGCTATTTTTACACCGCTCAGCCTATCAAGACAGAATTATTCTCAATTCACATTTTAAAATGAAGCCCTTTACAATTTGTGGAAGGGCTTAATTTTGCTGCCATGGCATTGACTGCTATCTCTGCCAACGGTAGAACCATTTCCTATATTCTTAGATTGGCCAGTGGTAGAAATATGCAGAGGTCTGCTCTTCAGGCCCTTATCTTGGCCCAGCACCGTGCAATTCAATGGTTATTACATCCGAACAAAGATGGGCACCGGTGCTCTGGATGTTTCGAGTT